GTACTTGATGATATTTTCCTTTGTTGAAGGTTATATTTAAGCTTCAAACAGATTCATGCTGTCAGTCAAAAAAAGGAGGATCCTCTAACTTTTTTGTAGCTGCCTATCCTCAGATCTCCCATGTTCCTCATTCCCATTAGGTCAGGCGTTAGCATTTCCCTGCTGATACCACTCTAATCAACTCTCTTCTTAAGTTTTCCATGAGTTGTTTAATATTTTCAAGTTTGTATGGAGAAGTAAAAACAAACCAAAACATGACAGATAATGCCAGCTCAGCATGTTTTATCACTTAAATGAACCGTGTCAACAATGTTAAAAGAAAAGTTTATGATATGGACATCCTCCACCTCACAGCTCACTGACCTTGGCAATATGACATCTTCAAGGCTTAAATTGTCATCATCGTTATGAAGCCTCTCCTGATCGGGCCAACTGACAACTTCCCACATAGTCTCTGTGCTAACTTCATAGCACTTACTGTTTGTATTATCATCAAGAGAGACTGATAGACTGTGGCAAGGTGCAAATCATCCTGAAATTCCAGTGGCTTATTTTTAGTTTATGCCACTTAATCTATCACTGGTTGGTAGGAAGTGGGCATTCTGTTTTAACTAGCCATCAGGGACTCAGAACAGCGATGTGTTCATCATCTTCTAGCTGTACCCATCTGAAACATGTGGCCTCCTTGCTCACTGTGGCAAGAGTAGAGAGCTGGAGGATTGCACAGCTTTTCGATGCTTTGATTTGAAATGACACATGATATTTCCATCCGCAGCCCATCCAGAACTAGTCCCATGACCCCACCCAATCTCAAGAGGACAAGAAAAGTGGGGAAACAGATAGAATGTTGGGTGAGCACCACTCTCTCTTCCAATAATTCATTCAGCAAATAAGTATTGAGTACTTAGTATATGCCAGGTACTCTTCTAGGCACTGGAAATATATTTTTTTAATTTTTAAAGGCAGAAATCCCTGTTCTGATGTAGTTTTTATTCCATATTTTGATTAATATTAATAGTTATTTTTACATACGCTTTAAAAACAACTGCTTGTCTTAACATATCATCTCCATATATCATAACAAAACTGCAACACGTGTAATAATGGTTCAATAAATAAGTAAAAATAAATATAATGGTTTAATGTTTTCTTGAGCAAAAGCCCATGCTCTACAATTACAAAGAACACTCATAACGTAAATTCTTTAAGTTAAGCGTAGTTCTGTAATGTAAAATCAGTCCACTGCTTGTCTGTGCAGACAAGCTTTGAGCCCTTTAAGAAATTTAAGTGTCGAGAGAGTTGCTTCTAGAATAAAAACTTTTGCTCATTTCCATCCATAAGGATTGGAACTCTTTCGTGTTTGGAACAATGTAAACTCCATAGGTTTAATAGAATACTGTGGAGCTAAACCTAGGCAGTCCAGAACCCCGATTGATGAAAGTGAGCATTCACTCATTCATTCAATATTTATTAAGCTTCTATTAGGTGCCAAGCAATGTCTACAAAGAGGGATGAGAAGTGTATTTCCACAAGAAATCCATAATTTCCTCTGTAGGTAAACTGGGGCCTTTTCTGGACTCAAAATGGTACTTTGTGTTTGTTTTTTCTACCTAACATTGTGTTCACCTGGATTAACCCCTCATGAAGAATGGGAGGGGAAAATGTTGAAAACAACTTGTTCAGCCTCTTTTGATTACATAAATCGCCCCTAGAAGATACCTTAAAGAATAGCCACCTGGTCTCCTCTTGAATATTACCTCCAAAGTCAGTCTATTTCATTTTTGGGTAATTTTAATTATTGTAAAGCTTTTCTTTATATTTATCTGAAATCAAATTTCCATCTCTGTTTACAGCCATGCTACCCTGAACAAGCCCAATCCCATCTGATCTTGGAAGCTAAGCAGGGTCGGGCCTGGTTAGTACTTGAATGGGAGACCACCTAGGAAGACCAGGTGCTATAGGCGTAAAAAATAAAAAATAAGGGATTGTAAACTGACAAGGTCCTTGCAATCTGTGAGGTCAACCAAGGGTTGCCTTGCCTAAAAAATAAAAAAATAATAATAATAAAATAAAACTTCCATATCTGGACATATATAGT